TGGCGATGGTGTCGGCATACTTTTCGGCGCTGAGGTGGATCGCGTTTTCTTCTTCGCGGATGTTGAGTCCGAGATACTGAGTGACGGTAGTGGAGACCGTGAGTGTGAGGTCCCTCTTCAGCTCCCTTTCGAACCAGGTAGTTATGTCGTCGGTAGAACCGATGTAGAGTAAATCGTCGACGTAGACGATAAGCAGAATGTAGTTGGCGTCTTTGGTGAGTCGGTACATGCCTTGGTCGTCAGACAGTTGACGGAATCCGATGCGGGTGAGGCGGGTGTGTAGGTGCTGTTGCCACAACCGTGGGGCCTGTTTGATTCCGTAGAGCGATTTCAGTAGCTGGCAAATCTGATTAGGTTCCCCGTGGGTACCATGTGGGAGCTCAACAAAGATTTCTGCGTCGACGGGTGCGTAGAGGAAGGCGTTAGCAACGTCGATTTGCCGTAGTTTCCTTTTCTTCATGGCGGCGATCGCGAGGAGAATTCGGAGTGAGGTGTGTCGGCTAACCGGGGCGAATGTTTTGGTGAAGTCCCGTCCGTGAACCTGATCGAATCCTCGCACGACCCAGCGTGCTTTGAACTTCTCGATTGTGCCGTCTGCCTTCGTTTTGATGCGGAAGACCCATTTCCCGGTGAGGATGGTCTTGTTCCTTGCCACGCTAACTGGAACGACTTTCCAGGTGTTCAGTTCCTCCAAGGCCTTTAATTCTCTGTCCATGGCTTCACGCCATTTCTCCCTGTGTTCCCCCCCCAGTGCCTGCTGAACCGTCGCAAGCTCTTCAGGAAGAGGATGGCCGTGGACTGCGGTGACAAGGCCGAGAATCTGCAGTCCAGTCTGTGAGTAGCGGGAGAGTGTTGTGTCCTTGGGATAAGCTGCTTCATCTCCCGTTTCTGGGTCGGTTATGAAATTCGGTCCTATTCTTTCTGCTTCGTTGGTGTTGACTGTCGCAGGTGTTACGTAACCATTGTCGGCGAATTGGTAGAAGACTTCGGCGTTGGCGCTTTCGCGAGGATTTTCTTCGTCCATGGGGACGTTGACGGAGCAGAACAGGAGGGGTCCGGCTTCTTCTGATGCGTTGTCGACGTTCTGCTCGTCCCAGTCTGCTTCGTCCGCGGCTGAGGCGAAGGCTCGGTCACCACGAAAGCCACCTGTGGGGTCCTGATTTTCGTGCAAGTTGGCGAAGTACGTCTGAAGCGTGAGTCGTTCGTAGAAGATCACATCACGTGCTGCTACTGTTTCCTTGGAGTGGACGTCGAAGATTTTCCACGCGTTGTAATTCTTTTCGATGCCGAGGTGTAGTCCCCACTGTGCGCGTTGTGAAAATCTTCCCGCTCGTGCCTCTGGGGGTCGGTACTGTACCATGCACCCGAAAACTCTTAACATTTTTGTGCTGCCCTATTTTCCTGTCCACAGCAGATGCGGTGATGCGTTGTTCGGAAGTGAGGACGACGACATCAAGTTGTGCAGCATGACAACATGGTCCATTGCTGCAGGCCACTGGTGGTTGGGTAGCCGCATGCCACGTAACAGTTTGTGCATGCTGTTCTGCAGAGTCCTGTTCATTCGTTCTGCGACACCTTGCTGCTGATGGGCGTAGGGAAGGGAGAGGAGTTGCTTGATTCCTCTTTCTGCCAGGTACTGCTTGAATCGCTGAGAGGTGTATTCTCCTCCTCCGTCTGTCTGGAAGCTTTTCAGCTGTGCTCCCGACTCTCTTTCTGCTACTGGTAGCCAGGCGGCAAACGCTGCGAGTGCCATGTCGCGGCTGGGTAGATTTAGATGCCAGACGTATCGAGTGGCGGCGTCGATGAAGGTAATCGTGTAGTTGTAGGTAACTTGTCCTGGTTCTCGATTGAAGAGAATATCGCTGTACACCTTCTCGAGTGGTGTGTACGCGGGTGCGCTCGGGTTGTGATGAGGAGTGAACGGTCGATGTGGTAAGTCGGCTTCGGGGCAGGTAAGACAAGTCCCTCGTGCCCGTTGGAGTTCTCTGCCGTCGGGTAGTAATAATGAGTCCTTGTCTAGGACTCCTGCTCTTATCGTGTTATTTAACACTGTGTTGCTTGGATGTCCCATTCGTGCGTGCCATATGTCTTCGGAGGCGCGGTGTCCGGGTGAGCGTCGATACGCGTCTGAGTTGGAGTAAAAGCTGGCAACGAAGTTTGCGCTTCTGTGGACTTCTCGCTGAGTTGGTTTCAACTGTTGTGCGGGTGTTGGTGGTGTTTCGTTGACGAGGACTGGTGTCGTTGGTCCTGCTGCTGCTGCCGATGTTGTCTCTGCTGCTGCCGATGATGTTTCTGCTGCTGCCGATGACGTTTCTGCTGCTGCCGATGTTGTTTCTGTTGCTGCCGAATGTTGAATTGTTGCTAACGCGCGTGTTCTTTCTGCTTCAGGGATGGTGTGCGAGTACCAGAAGCCTTCCGGGCTGAAGTTCGGATCAAGATCCGGAGGATGTGTCCAGTCGGCGAAGTTCACGATGGCGTCGCTGTCTGCAGTGCCCTGGTCTGGGACGAAGTCTAGGATGTTGGGCCGAGATACCAGGTTGTGATCGTTGTATGTAACTCTGTTTGTGAACTGGCCTTGTGGCCATTTGCTTGTGCTCAGAATGCGTGGTGACGTCGTGATCCACCCTGAGCTTCCTTTGCTTTTCTTGACTGGTCTTGTGACCTCTTGTTCTCCCCCACTTTACCTATGGGGGTGTGTCAAACTTATATGGTATAGTCTGTATAGGCTGTAGTGGGGTAGTTCATATGGGGTACAACATTTTAGGGTTTCCTACTTGTACTCCTCATTCTGCTCAATGCAATCATTCCTCGTTCTGTTCTTTACATGCTGAACCAGATTAACGAATTTCATGCTTAACGAGATTGACTCATTTCTGTTGCACCTACTTCCCTTTGCGAACCCCACCCCACAGGTATCAACTGGCCACGAGGGCAGAGGGAGATCGTCACGTTCTCTACTATCACGACCACACATCAGGAGGATGTGGGCCAGGGTCATCGCTAGCAGAAATTTCTTGTCTGTTTGTCTTATATTCATATCGAGTTTTTAGAGTTCATCTGATTTTTCAGAAATTGGTTTTTGTAATTTCTGATTGATGAGTAGTTTTTGAGTTTATCTGATCAATCAGGTTCTTGTTTTGGGTTCATCTGATACCGAATCCAATTATGTAGTGGTGTATATGGGATTAGGGTTGTGAATGGGCGAATCTGATGCGTCAGGAGGCGAATCTGTTAGTGTCAGGGGGCGAATCTGCTGTGTCAAGGGCGAAATTGTTGTGACGGGGCGAATCTGCTGTGTCAGGGTGACGGCGAATCTGCTGTGACGGACCGAATTTGCTGTGAAGAGGGTGATTCTGCTGTGACTGGTCAAGTCCGAATCAAATTGCCCATTTGATTGGTTAGACATGCATTTCGAAAATATCTGAAACATCAGACATGGTAAAAAACAGAATCTGATGCATCAGGTGCCCTCAAATCTTAGCGACGACCCTGATGTGGGCTTTGCGGGCAATCTGAAGCTCATGCTGTCCTCTCCCGACTGGACGACCTGCTACCCGAATCTCGTGCACTTGTGGATCGCCGTCGCCGTTCTTCCGCTCAGCACGGTGGAGTGCGAGTGCGGCTTCTCTCGGCAGAATGTGATCAAGAGCTGGCTTCGCGGGAACCTGTGTGACGCGAAGCTAGGGGAGATGATGACCATCTCGCTTCTTAGCTATGACATGGAGTTACTGAGGAGGTTTAATGCTTTTAAGAAACGCAGGCCTGCCAAGGATGTGCTGATGGCTTCTGGGGAGAGACAAAGCAAGCGCGCGAAGAAAAGCTCTGCCTTATCATCAGCAGCAGCCGCAGCATTGGCAGCAGCAGAAGCTGCAGCCCTAGAAGCAGCCCTAGCAGCAGAAGCTGCAAGGCTTGATGCAGAATACCCCTGGCTTAGTCGGAAAGGTAAGGGAAAAGTTCCTGACCCTTTTGCGGAAACCGAGGATGAGACTGATGATGATGAGGATAGCTGCGATAGTGACTCTGACTAGGTTGCTATTTGTCTAGGATGTGCTAACTGCTTAACATGTTGATAGATGTATGCATAGGTTCAATGTATTATTACTTTGTAGTAGGTTCAGACCGAAGAAGTTTTTTCGTCTGATGGATCAGACTGCATAGAAATTTTCGTGTTTAGAGTCAGACAACAGAAACTTGGTCATCTTGGCGTCAGAGGAATTTTTTTTTTTTTTACTTATACCGTATCACCCCGGATATAAGCGCCATGGCGCTTATAATAAAATCGATTTTTTTAAGGGTGGCGCTTGTAATTGAATAATGGCCATAAGCGCCGGCGCTTATATAAAGACAAATACAGAAATACAATTCAAACGCACCAACATGTACAGTTCAGTCTCGTAAGTTGAACCGAATTAAAACTTTACAGCGTCCAGAATCAGAATCGCGCGAGGGCGAATTTCTGACGGTGCACTGAGCTTTGGCGCGTCATTTTGCCCGCGTGCCAGCTCATACTGACTGGACGCGCAACCAGTGAGGTCCGCGAAAGTCAAACAAAGTGAAAATGTGATGTGACTCGCTAGAAATATGAAGTTCGTTACCGTTTTAATCAGGAATGAAAAATAAATTTAGGCGTGCGCTTATAATAAGTAAAGCATTTTCAGGGGGGGCGCTTATAATCGAATTCCGGCCATAAGCGCCATGCTCCAGATAGAAGCGCCGGCGCCTTTAATCGGACGGCGCCTATATCCGGGGCGATACGGTACTTTCATACAGGCCCAAAACCTAGCGAGAGCCCTGATCCTCACTAGCAACATTTTTGTACCGGTATCCCTTGCATTATTTTGCACAATCGTAACCTTACTGTCTCCCATGCCAATTTCATCTCTGCTGCTCCTTCAGCAAGTCCAGTCCAAACTGCACCTCTTAAACCAGCAGCAACAGCTGCCTTCACTACGCTGGAAAGCCGTACCCTTCGCTGCGTGCCCTGCCTTCCTGGGCTGTGGTCACACCTTGTCCGCCAGGTTGCCACTGGAGGCACTGCGCTCAGTCGGCCCGAGGGAAGCACCCGTTGTAAGAGCAGAGGGGGCAGCAGCAGCAGCGGCGCCGCTAGCAGCAGAGCCCCCGGCACCCGCAGCCCCTGCAGCTGCCGCCTCTGCTGCCTTGGCCAGTCTCTCCTCCAGCGCCCTTGCTCCCCTCTCCCTGTGCGTGACAGGAGGGGGGGACCAGCGGACAAAGATGGAAGTAGGAGTGAGGATTGAGGCAGAGTCTCCAACAAACACCGGCAGCTCATCTGGAGCATGCACAAAGCGCCAGCCGAACATGAGAGAAGGTGTATGCGCTGCAAGAGGCTTCAGCAGCCACAAAGCCCGACATCGGTCTTCACTCAACCTTTTCTCTAAGTACGTGGTAGGAACGGAGGGTGAGGTAGAGAAGAGAACGAGCAGTGAGACAGAGGAAAGCCCACCTGCCCCTGACCCCACCTGCCCCTGACCGCACCTGCCCCTGACCGCACCTGCCCCTGACCCCACCTGCCCCTGACCCCACCTGCCCCTGACCCCACCTGCCCCTAGGCTCACCCGCCCCTAGGCTCACCCGCCCCTAGGCTCACCCGCCCCTAGGCTCACCCGCCCCTAGGCTCACTCGCCCCTAGGCTCACCCGCCCCTAGGCTCACCCGCCCCTAGGCTCACCCGCCCCAGGCCCACCTGCGCCGGGAGGCCTCAGCGGGGTCGGAGCCGGGCAGCGGCTTGCCGGCCGCCAGCAGCTCGTCCTCATCCACCACCGCAGCCCGATCCACCCGCCGCCCGCACAGCAGCCGCCCGAGAATGGTTGCTACAGTGCCCACCACCGGTCTGGTGAATAAGAGGAAGGCGAAGGATGGAGGAGGATTGTGGTGGGAAGGCATGTGTGAGGGGTGCGTGCCAAGCGGGTGGTATGTGGGGTTGCGAAGATCTTAACAAGTAGCAGGTGGGATAGAAAAGGTTGATATTCACACCCCCAATCGTGTTAACTCAAAACACATTTGATTGAGGAAAACAGAACATAACCAGAATGCAGCATACCAGAAGCAGGATAGAAGAAACAAAGGGAACAGAATGGAGTCCAACACAGTCAGAGGAGAAAGGAGAACGCAACGAGCATGTGAAGTGAAATCAGCGAGGCTCACCTGAGCGCCTCTGGGAAGACGAGAGGCTCACCTGAGCGCCTCTGGGAAGACGAGAGGCTCACCTGAGCGCCTCTGGGAAGACGAGAGGCTCACCTGAGCGCCTCTGGGAAGACGAGAGGCTCACCTGAGCGCCTCTGGGAAGACGAGAGGCTCACCTGAGCGCCTCTGGGAAGACGAGAGGCTCACCTGAGCGCCTCTGGGAAGACGAGAGGCTCACCTGAGCGCCTCTGGGAAGACGAGAGGCTCACCTGAGCGCCTCTGGGAAGACGAGAGGCTCACCTGAGCGCCTCTGGGAAGAAGGTCTCAAAGGCAAAGTCGTCGGTGGGGTCGCCCTTGAGGCCGCTGTCGCCCTTGGGCTGGAAGAAACGCAGATACGCCCAGCTGGTGTACGTGCCGAATAGGATGAAGGGCAGCAGCTGGCGGTAGTGGCCGATGCAGAAACACAGCACCACCGTCAGCAGCACGAAGAGGGATGGCAGCCACTGAGGGCGAAGTGAGGGGAGGGTGGGGAAGCGAGGGATTGTAAAAGACAAGAAAAAGGAGGGGAATCCATTTAAGAACACGTCTGTAATGCCACCTCAATTCGTTTTGCAAACTAAGTGTTTCGAACACAGCAATCATCAACATCAACGCTTGCGCTCGTGCTCTTGCATTTCACGGGCACATGAACAGGCAAAACTGAGATCCAGCAGAGAGACAAATGAAGCCAGAGCTATAATGCACGTACACTGTTTTGCCCTTATACCCTTGCGACACCCAGCTATTATTTACGACTATGAGTGTGGGCGGAGCACGAGTGTACGGAGCTCAGATCCTTGCCTCTCTGGCATACAGCACCAGCCACACCCCACGACGACTCCCATGACCCCTCACTTGCCACCTGCACTGTGCCACTGGCACGTGCAGCATGGGTTGGGGTGCGACACACCTTGGCGCGGAACTTGAGGACGTAGGCGACGGTGATGTCCTGTTCGGGCATGAGCTGCTTGACGCCCACCAGCAGCCCCGCCACCACCCCGTGGAACCCTGAGATCGGCTCGTACCTGCGCACAGCAGTGGGGGGGGAGGTGGAGAGAGGGGTGAAGCGAGGGGAAGGCATGTGCGTGTGTGTGGAATGGCAAGCCACAAGTGGGAATGCAGAGGTGTTTCGCCGCCACCAGATTATGAACACCTGGCGAGCAGTCAATGAACACCTGGCGAGCAGTCAATGAACACCTGGCGAGCAGTCAATGAACACCTGGCGAGCAGTCAATGAACACCTGGCGAGCAGTCAATGAACACCTGGCGAGCAGTCAATGAACACCTGGCGAGCAGTCAATGAACACCTGGCGAGCAGTCAATGAACACCTGGCGAGCAGTCAATGAACACCTGGCGAGCAGTCAATGAACACCTGGCGAGCAGTCAATGAACACCTGGCGAGCAGTCAATGAACACCTGGCGAGCAGTCAATGAACACCTGGCGAGCAGTCAATGAACACCTGGCGAGCAGTCAATGAACACCTGGCGAGCAGTCAATGAACACCTGGCGAGCAGTCAATGCAGTATGAACACCTGGCGAGCAGTCAATGAACGAGAGGGTTGGGGATGCAATGGGAGGGAGTGCAGGCGCGTGCAAGGTGGACTTCATACGCATATCTCCATTCTCTCCTCTTGTCACTGCACTGCCCCCTCACCACTCCATCCATCCCCTGCACCCTATCGAGACCTGATCTTGCAGCTTCACTGGCGCCATGTTTGGTGTGCACTGCAGACGTCCTGGCCTCAAAGACAGCACAATCCATCCAGCTAATCCGCACGCAACTTGAGCGCTCCCCGCTATCTGTGCCACAACAGGACCATTTCCTCACTTTTTGGACACCTTCCCTACCACAATTCCTGATAGCGACTTGATTACTTGCTGCTCCAATCGCTCATGTGCTGGTTGAGTGTTGTCCCCATGTGCAGCTGTATCGAATCGACACTCCAACACGTCACCGCCCTTGGTTGCTTCCTCCTTCCCGAGACGTGTGCGCCATACACACGGCCTACCACAGTGGTGCAATGGCTTGCTTACGCTCCGTGCTGGAGCACAAATGGCGTCGCAGGCAGTTGCTACATGTCCAACCGCCGCGTGCGATGACATGCGGTGTGTGCAGTGTTTGAGCAGTGACAGGAGCATGAGGCCATTGCAATGGGCTACGGACGTCATACACACTACAGGACAACTTAGCTGTTATTCACCTCTCATGCCATCACACACGGTGCTGCAGCACTCACGGAACAATAGCCCTGGAACGTGAGGCAGTAAGCAGTAACCATTGCTGTTCCGCACCCCTATCAACCCCGGCGTGACTACAAGCGAGAGGGGTTATTCTCAGGCACTCCTAGACGTTTTTTGTAAGAACTCAAGGGTGCGTCTTACAGGAAGTATCCGCGGAAGGTGATGTAGTAAGCAGAAAGAGACCATGGCGATGAAAGAGCTGTTAGCGCGTATCAGCAACAGGATGGCGGCAAGCAAGAACGGCGATGGGGCTCACAGGAAGTAGCCCTGGAAGGTGAAGTAGTAGGCGGTGACCATGGCGATGAAGGTGCACACGGTGGTCAGCGTGCTCACGATCAGCACGAAGCGCAGGAACTCGCGCGACCCCCACACCGGCTCCAGCACCCGCCCCAGGAACAGCAAAGCCACCACGTCCAGCACTAGCTGCACGGCGGAGGCGGGTGGAGGGGCAAGGGCGGGTGGAGGGGCAACGGCGGGTGGAGGGGTGTGGGACGAGGGTTGAAGCAGTGCGCAGAGCCAACTGGTGCCGCCCACGTGGGAACAAGCTGGCTCTTAACGTTCAGCAGATTCCATCCAGACTCTACTAACAGGATACTGCATTCGCCTTACAGTGAAGAGATGGCGCAGTGTTGGTATCACAATGACAGCACCTTGAGTTTCTCGCAGTGAAGAGGTGGCGCTCAATAGAACGCCCCAGTACCCACTGGGTCAAAACGTGCATGTTATAGCGCTGCGGCAGATGGCCTTCAGCCCTTGCTGTGAGCTGGCAGGCGTTGCACTCACCGTGAAGAGATGGCGCTCGAAGAGGCCCGCTGTGACGAGATTCCACGCGAAGGGGATGGTCCTGCGCGCACGGGGGGGGGAGTGGGAGGGTGACGAACTGAGCATGACAGCGAGTGACGGAGGTGGTGACGGTTGGGGGAGGGGGGAAGCCTGCGGAGAGCTTGCACGCGTATGGCATGAGGCTCAAGGGAGGACGCAGGGAGAGGGCCAACATGTGTCAACACAGGAGGGGAATATGTCAAAGGCGTTCACGGCCGTGCAGCTTGCCTGTGCGGGCGGCACTTGCCTGTGCGGGCGGCACTTGCCTGTGCGGGCGGCACTTGCCTGCCGGGCAGCAGCGCGAAGGCGGTGTGCGCGGAGGGCAGCAGCGACACGACGTAGCCCATCAGCAGCACCGCCGCCAGCCCCTTGGACAGCCGCGTGAACCCGCTCAGCGCCGCGCGGCCCTGGGGGGGGGAAGGGTGGGGGGAGAGGGAGGGGAAGTGGGGGGAGAGATATGCGGCGCGGAACGTGGAGGGCGAGAAGAAGGGCGCACGCTGGCCGCTCTCGGGGCCAATCACTGGCTCGATGAGATGTGCGGGATGGCATGCCATGGGAGACGCGGCACGAGACGTGCTGTTTCTTCCACACTCTAATATCACATTCGCCAAAGTGAGTGCGAATGTAACGGGGGACGGTGCAGCGGAGCCAGCGGCATGGCGCTGAACAGGGCCGAGCAGCGGAAGCATGGCGACAACATGAGAGGTCAGCCCGCACAGCGATGAATCGTACCACAGCCAGCAGCGAAAACTGCAGGGCGGGCGAAGAGTGAGCTTACGAGCAGCGCTTGGGGGTTGGGTGCCTGCGCGCTCATTGTGATCCGCAGATGACGCGATGCCGCGATAACACGATAGCACGATGAGATGACGAGGGCACTGTCACGTGAAAGATCTCGTAGTAGTCGTACTCGCGGAAATGCAGGCGAAGTCGCAAACGACGTCCTATTTTCAGTCAGAAACTACGCAAGATCTCAGTGCCTTCAAATATTCGACGCACTATTGTGGAGATAAATCGGTTCGTTATGCGAGCAGAGGGAGTACATGCATAATTGGGGTTAGGTATGCTATATCTCAATGGTGCTGATAGGAGCCTTGATACTGTCTATATAAATGGAGGGACATCCGAGGGGTGAGAGTTGTTATTAGGAGCTGCCTTATCCATCTGGTCACTATATATGGTTATGTAGATCACGTACACCCTGGAAACATAGAGTATAACTAACTATATTTACACATATTCTTTTGCACAGTGGATAATCTGGTTAAAGTTTTTTGTAACATTAGCAGCATCGTGAGGCATCGCATATTGAAAATGCTTGAACCAGAATTGGATTCTTCACCACTCCACCATCCTGCACTCCACCCAGCCACCATCCATCACGCCACCCATTTCATCTATTCACCACCGTGCCATCCCTCGCTGCTCTCCCACCGTCCTCCGCTATGCGCGCTCTCCTGCTTCTCCGCGGCCTCGCAGAGCGTCGCTGCGCGGCGGACAGGCTGCGCGTGATCGCCACGCACCTTGCCCCCGCGCCGCTCACCTCGCCCCTCGCCGGCCGCGCCGACGACGTCGATCGCGCGGACGCCGCCGGACGGGCGGGCGCGTCGTCGTCGCGGCGGTATTTGGTGACCGCTGGCGCGGCCGCCCTCGCCGCTTCCGCTGCGGCCTCGTCGTTCGCCGCTGCTGGCGCGGAGGTAAGGCGAGGGGCGCAGCAGAACGGTTAGTGGAGGGCACGGAGGCGCGCAGCGGGTGACCGGCGATGAGATCAGGATTTGATCTCCCTCTTTTCCTGCCTGCCTGCCTGCCTGCCTCATCCCGTCCCGCCCCTCTCACCCCCCCATCCCGCCCCTCTCACCCCCCATCCCGCCCCTATCGCCCTGCCAGGGCTCGTCGGGCGCGGCGCACTGCGAGGCGGCGCCCAAGGCAGGCAAGTCATCTCCGCCCTGCCACCCGCCTCCGCCCTGCCACCCGCCTCCGCCCTGCCACCCGCCTCCGCCCTGCCACCCGCCTCCGCCCTGCCACCCGCCTCCGCCCTGCCACCCGCCTCCGCCCTGCCACCCGCCTCCGCCCTGCCACCCGCCTCCGCCCTGCCACCCGCCTCCGTCCTGCCACCCGCCTCCGCCCTGCCACCCGCCTCCGCCCTGCCACCCGCCTCCGCCCTGCCACCCGCCTCCGCCCTGCCACCCGCCTCCGCCCTGCCACCCGCCTCCGCCCTGCCACCCGCCTCCCCCCTGCCACTCGCCTCCGCCCTGCCACTCGCCTCCGCCCTGCCACCCCTGCCTCCGCTGCTTGTGTGGTGTTGAAGGTGACTAAGTACATGCTTCTAGGATCATGCACCATCGCCAATTGCCAACTCGGATCCCACGTGCCTGTTGGAGCGTCTCCCTTCCCTCTCTCCTCTGTGCAGCACTGAACCCACAGCAGTTCGTGGCGTTCAGGGTGCAGCAGGTGCAGGACATCAGCCACAACACCAAGATATTCCGGTGCGTCTCTTCATGTGTGCCTCGCTGCTGCGGATGTACACAACTCAGGCATGGCAAGGACGTTCTCTCTCACTGCTCCACCTCTCCTTTGTCCTTCTGCCCCTCCATTGCCTTGCCAACCCCCCCTTTATCACACATTCCCTCTCTGCTCTTCCCGCATATACCCTCTTTGGCCTTCCCTCCCTCCTTGCTCCCTCCTCCTCGTCCCACTCCCTCCCTGCCCCACCAGCTTTGCCCTCGACCCCGACACACGCCTCGGCCTCACAGTGGCGTCATGCCTCGTTACAAGGTCACATACATGCATGCTGCTTGCCTCGTTACAAGGTCACATGCATGTCGAAATAGCATGCTAAAACGAGAAACATGAAAGAGAATTTTCACTAGCAGCAGTTGAAATACATATAGGAAACCTTAATTGGGTTGTACTCGCTATAAAGTACCCCACTGCAGGCTAGACAAACATCACATTCTGACACACCCTCATAGTCAAAGTGGGCTACAATCAACACAACAAGCAAGCAGATCAATAGTTCACAAGGATAACCAAAACTAGAGGCTATCACAGAGGGCAAGTGAGGAGGAGGAGAAACTGTGGGGGCGAGAAGATGCGAGACGACGGCTGAAGCTGCAGACACACGGGCAACAGGAGTGCGCAGCTTCTACCAGGCTCAACTTGGACTACACGGCGACAGATGCACCTGGCTCACTGTGCTCCCAGGAGTGCTCACACTGTAGCTACCGGGCGCAGAGCCTCGGACTACTCAGGCCACAGAGGGTTGTGGCTCTCTGGACTACCAAGAGTGCTCACACTGTGGCTACCGGGCGCAGAGCTCCGGACTACTCAGGCCATAGGGGGTTGTGGCTCTCTGGACTTCTGGCGCTGCGGACGACAAGTCGGCTACCTCCGGTCAACCTCCCCCAACTGTCCCACACCCCATTCACACACTCCCTGCTGAACCACTAGCACCGCTCACACACCACCCCCCTCGTACCACTCCGACGGCTCCAACACATCCACCCCCCTCAGCAGCAGCTGCAGCAGTGGGAGACGGAGGAGGAGGAGGAGGATCAGGGGAAGGCTCACACACCCGGCACCCCCATACTCTCCACCCCCAAACCCTAACACAAGAGCGCGGGCAGCAGCGGGGGTGGGGCGCGGTCAGAAGCTCGAGACCAACCGCACGCGGGCTGCCCGGGCCGCGCGCGGGCCTAGCGCAGCCCATACAGGCCGCGCGCGGGCCTGGCGCAGCCCGTACGGGTCGCGCGCGAGCCTAGCGCAGGTCGCGCGGGCCGCGTCGGGCGACGAGGGGCGACGCGACGGTCGACAGGGGGCGACGCGCGGTTCGACGGAGCAAAAAACCGCCGCGCGCTCAGGGCGCGCGGCGGGATGAAAAATATGCCGTGCACCCGGGTGCGCGACAAGTAGAACACGTCGCGCGCCCGGAGCGCGCGATAGGCAGGACAGCAGCGGAAGCATTAGGTGGCGGGCCCATCCACAGGATCGACCCAGGAGGGTCGCCCTGCTCTGATAGCATGTTAGAATCTAGCAGCAGGAATGATTGAACTATGAAAAAGTTGGGTACTTTAAAAAAGGCTGTACCCCATGTTTGCTACCCCACTACAGTCTAAACATATATACCAGATATCACATTTGACACACCCCCATAAACAAAGTGGGGGAGAGCAAGGGGTCACAAGACCAGTCAAGAAAACCAAAGCAAGCTTAGGGTGGATCGCAACGCCACCACACACACTGAGCACAAGCAAAGGGCCACAAGGCCAGTTCACATGCAGAGGTATATATGCAACAACAACAGTACAGTGATCTCTACTTAGCAGAGCTAGCATGCAGGTGTATATATATAGATCATAGTACAAGCAAAGTCTACAGCAAGTGAGGCAAAGTAAGCACAAGGCCTAACAAAGTGCAGAAACGATGATGATCACCAGACGGAAGTGCCTTGGTGAATATATCAGCAATGTTGGCCCGAGTGGCCACGTAAGCAAGACGAAGCTGACCACGCTGCTGCAACTTTCGAGCCAGGAAGTAACGCAGAGCGATCTGCTTTGTTCTGTGCTCCATTCTGTGTTCCTCACACAAGGCAATGGCGGTCTTGTTGTTGACGTACAGCACTAGAAGAGAACGAGGCCGCTCTCCCAAGTCGGTCAGCAAGTAGGTAAGCCAGCGTAATTCCTGTGCAGCCATGGCTGTGGCGTAGATCTCAGCCTCACAACTGGAGCTGAGAACAGAAGACGAGCGTGTAGAACGCCAAGAGACTGAACCAGAGCCAAGGCTGAAGGTGTAACCCTGTGACGACCGCTGCGTAGCCTGCTCGTCAACCCAAGAAGCGTCTGAGTGCCCAGTGAGGACAACGTCGCTCCGTCCTCCAAGCACGAGCCCCATGCCCGATGTACCGCACAAGTAGCGCAGTACCCTCTTCGCAGCATCCATGTAGGGATGAGCAACGTGGCGAACACCTGGCTCAAATCGTTCGCCGAACAGTGTTCGATGTTCGCCCGAACGCGTTCGTGTTCGGGCCGCTGCTGAAATTTGCCCGCGACGAATACGAACAGTGTTCGAGGTTCGCCCGAACACGCCTCCAGAGGCGAACAGCGAACACCTGTTTTTCCCTAAACTGTTTGCCGAACCGAACACTGTTCGGTTCGGCAAAAGAGGGTGTTCGACAAGGGGCGAAGACGAACATGTTCGTGTTCGCTCTTTGCTCATCCCTACTGTTGTGGAAGCAAGAATGTCCCAGTGGGTACCTTTGGTCTTAGTGGTCGCGGGTTCAACTCTCATCGGCAGCACCTTCTCTTCTCATTATGCCGAACATGACACTCCCACACTCCACCACACTCACCCATAGTGAAGTGTGGTCACAGTTGGCATTGCCATCTGTCCACCCATCCCATACTCACCTTGTTGGCTCCTATGGTGTGCCACATGCTGCCATGTAGGCTGTTGTTCCAGCCTGGCCCACATGTGCAACATGTGGCCTCAATTGCTAGCTTGGCAAGGTTGGCTAGCCCTGCCCTCAGCTTTGAGGTGCTGCAGCTAGCCTCAAGAGTTC